ATCTCCAGGCTTCCAAGGGGGGGGGGGCGGAGGAGATGCCAGGAGGGCGGGCGCGTCCCAGAGCTGGAAGGCGTGCTGCTCGCATGCGGCCCCGACTCCTGGGCGTGCGGGGGATTGCCGAGTCTGTCCTACCGCCAAGAAGCTGAAATAAGGAACAGTTTGGATTCGGAAGGGGCTCGATGTCCCTTACGTCCTTCCGCGGTTGTTAGCGTTCCTTCTTTCAGCAGCCCGACTGTAAGTACCGTTTCTCCTCCGCCGCGCTCGCACGCGAAGGAGCGACGCGTGCCTGTCTTCAATCGTGAGAGGCCTTACGAGTGCATGGTGCGACGGGCCGTCGCGTCGCAGGTGGCGTCGCGAGCATCGCGTCGAAGGTGGCGGGGGAGGAGGACGGCGGACCAATCGTGAAGTTTTTGGTGGGCTCGCACGCAGCAAGTTCTCTTGCGTGGCTCGATTCTGCTGCCGTGCGTGGCGCGCGCCCTGACTTTTTTGTCCTGCGCCGCGGCGCACGCCCGCCGCCGGCCTGGGCCAGCAGCTCCCCCTGGGAAGCAGCTGCGGTTCCCCTCCGTCGTCCTTCGCCGTCTGTGACGCCTCCCATGTGATTCGGGGGCGGCCAGGAGGGGGGTGATGACTGGGGGGGGGTGATTCACAGTGGCGGGGGTCATGCTGTATGCACAGATTTCAGGGCGCCTCCTCTTCTTTCATTGCGTCCCTGGCCGCCCCACCCCCCCCTGGGCCGCGCGCGTGCCGCCGGCCACGATTTGCGCCCTGCCTCCCCTCTTGGACGCCCCCCTCGTGGCCGCCCCCGTTGAATCCTCGCCCTCGCCCTCCTCCTCCTCCTCCTCCTCCTCCTCCTCCTCCTCCTCCTCCTCCTCCTCCTCCTCGTCATCAGCACCCGGCATGGCGGCGCCTCGTGCTCGCGGCTGCAGCTGCGGCTGCAGCGCCGGGCGCTCGCTCGAGGCGCCCGATCCGTCCCTCGGTTTTGGCCGGCGGCGGAGGCAGCGCTCGCGCCACGCAGCCGGCCGCGGCTGGCACGCTCTGCCTTCGGTTCGGCTCCTCCTCCCTCCTCCTCCTCCTCCTTCCCCTCCTCCTCCTCTCCTCCTACCTCCTCCTCCTCCCTCCTCCTCCTCCTCCCTCCTCCTCCTCCTCCTCCTCCTCCTCCTCCTCCCTCCTCGTTCCTCCTCGTCCCTCCTCCTCCTCCTCCTCCTCCTCCTCCCACGCGCATCCATGGCGCACGAGCCACCATGCTGCTGTCTGCTTCACGGGAATCGTGGCTGCCGTTTGGAGGGCCATCCCGGGTACGTGTTCGCCGAGGAGAGAGGGCAAGCGTTTTGCATTAGTGCGCCTGTTCCGCGATGTTCCTCTGCAGGCTCCTGATGTGACCTGCTTCCAGTCCTGCCACCTCCGTCGCGTCGTTTCTTGTGGCCAGCGGAGAGGCCAGTAGTAGCCTGGGATGTTGGAGCCAGGGAGCGGCCAAACGAAGTGATTGGTTGATTCCTTCTCTCTCTCTCTCTATATTTGTAGATACATCTGTCTATGTATGTGTCATGTATCATTATTTCCCGGGACCCCCCCCCAGAAATCGGACCCCCACAATCCTGGGCCCCCCGGGGCCCCCGGGAACCCCCTGGACCCCCCGGATTCGGGACCCCTTTGGACGCCCCTGCAGGAGGCCCCCCAGGCGTTTCAGAGCTCCCGGAGGCCCTGCTGAGCCTAGGCAGCGGGCCCCAACCGGTCGGGAGGGCGGCCGAATGCCCACCCGAGGGTCCCAAGAGCTGCCGTGCACCCACCAGACGCCCGAAGGCGGCCCAAAGAAGATCCCCAAGTGGCTTCCCAAAACGCAGAAAAGCATGGATGTCCAGTTGTGCTTTGCCTGATTTAGGGGTATGCCTATTCTTCGGTATTAGAGGCGTCCGAGGCAGTCAAAGAGAGCCCCAAGACGGCACACCAGGGTTCCAAGATGGCCTAAGAAAGCCCCATGACGGCCCAAGGTGGCCCCAAGACACCTTCCGAAGCATGCCAAATCGCGACCTGGTCGTTCGGGGAGACCGCGGTTGGAGGCAGGGTGGCCCGAGGAAGCCCCCAGAGGCCCCCAGAAGACGCCCAGGAGGCCTCCAGAAGGCCTTAAGAAAGCATGAACAACTTCCGTGAGGCCCCCAGAGGCTCTCCAAGGAGGAGCCTCCGCAAAAAGAGCTCAGGAGGATGGGGAAGAATTCGCAGGGTAGGGCGAGAAGAAGGAATAATAAGCATGGAGGAAGGATAACGAATAACATGATTATAGTGTTATAGTGTCGACGCCGGAAGAGGCAACAAGGAGTTATCGCTAAAGTGTCTGTTTGACCTTCCTGCCATTCCGCCTGCATACCAAACTTCGGGAGGGTCCCGGGGCTTGAGCAGCTTATCTGGCCGTTCTCTCTGTCTTCTTCCCCTCCTCCTTCCTCCTTTCGTGCTTTGTTCGGGTGCTGTGATTTGGCACTTCTATCTCCAGGTATGGGTGCATTGATTCCTCCGATGTTTGTCTTGAGGCTGAGTAGGCCCTGGGTTTCATGTACCACGAGGGATCATTGAACTATTTTAGCGTGTTTCCTTTCTCTCCCCGCTCTTCTCCTCCGCAGCAGCACTGCCGCCGTCGTGCCCGTGCCTGTATCCGAGGGGTGCGCTCACATCAGATGGCTGTGTACGGGATGTGCTAGATACGTAATATCCGTGAGGGCTTCGCCCCCTGCCGCCGGCCCCCTCTCTTTATCATAATAGGATGTATCAAAGTCGCGTCGGTGCGTTTTGCGATGCCTTGGCGCATCTGGGGGCATCATGCGGGGGCGGATAGGATTCATCAGCGCATATTGAGACGTTGGGGTTATCGAAGACGCCGACGGCGAATCAGTGTTGTGGCAAGAGCTCTGCCAAGCTATCGGACCATGCGTTCCCCCAACCGTTGTGGAAACCCTTTGGGGAATGTTTTGGGGGGGATGGCAGGGAAGATCAGGAGGAGGAGGAGGAGGAGGAGGAGGAGGAGGAGGAGGAGGAGGAAGAGGGGGCATTTTGGAAGCCTCTGGGGGCACTCTTGGGGCCTCATGGGAGCTTCCTGGGCGCCTCGTAGGGGCATCTTGGGGGCCTCCTTGGGCCTCTTGGGGGCATTTGGGGGCCTCTCTGGGCCGACTTGAAACCCTCGTGGGGTGCTCCAGGGCCGTCTAGGGCATCCTGGGCGTCTTGGAGGCCTCTTGGGCCCTTCTGGGGGCCCTCTTGGGGCTGTCTGGGGGGCATCCTGGGCCGTTCTGGGGCCCTCCTGGAGGCTTCTTGGGCGAGCGTTCTTGGCTCTGGGGCCGTCTCGGGACGTCGGAAGGCCGAAAAGAAGCACACGCCAAACTCCTTCACATACCGAAGGGAGCTCAATTGTTTGAGCCTCTTCGGGCCTTCCTGGAAGCCCTCTTGGAGGCCTCTTGGGCCGTCTTGGAGACCTCTTGTGGGCCCCTTGGGCCGTCTTGGGCATCTTCGAGCCATCTTGTGCCGTCGTGGTGGGCTCCTGGCCCGTCCGACGCCGTCGGAAGCTGTCCTGGGGGTCTCTCTGGGCCCACTGGGGGCCCTCTTGGGGTGCTCTCCAGGGCCATCTTGGAGGCCATCTTGGGCGTTTTGGAGGCCGCTTGGGCCGTCTGGGGGCCCTCTTGGTGCCTCTTAGGCCGTCTCCGGCCGTCGGAAGTTGAAAAAAAAACAAAAGCCAACATCCGTGAAGAAGCCTAAGGAAAATCAGCAAATTTGGCCTCTTCGGGCCTTCCTAGAGGCCCTCTTGGACGCCTCTTGGGCCGTCTTGGAGACCTCTTGCAGGCCTCTTGGGCAGTCTTGGGCCATCTTAGAGCCATCTTGGCCCGTCTTGGTGGGCTCCTGGCCCGTCTGACGCCGTCGGAAGCTGTCCTGGGGGTCTCTCTGGGCCCACTGGGGGCCCTCTTGGGGTGCTCCAGGGCCATCTTGGAGGCCATCTTGGGCGTCTTGGAAGCCTCTTGGGCCGTCTTGGGACCCTCCTGGTGCGGTCTTGGGAGCCTCTTCGGCCGTCCTGGGGCCACCATGGAGGCCCCTTGGGCGATCGTCTGGCAATCTTTGGGGGCTCTTGGGGCCGTCTCGGGCCGTCGGAAGGCCGAAGAGAAGCAAGGGTGGGCAACGGGATCCGGGCGTGGCAAGCTGGATCCCTTTGGGCTCCCCCCCCTCGCGCGGACTTCAACAGTTTATGGTAGGAAGCAGAACGCAGGACCGTACCATTGGTCTGCACGAACTGAATGGGTGCGGAAAGAATGAGTACCATGCCCAACAGCAGTTCCTGCTCATTTTGAACAGGACTCGCTGTCCGCGCCGCCACGGCCTGTGTCCATTTGAGACAGAAGGCCGCCTGCCCAACAGCGCCCGCTGTTGGTTTGGGACAACATTTGTTGTTGGGCATTGTACCCATTGTTTCCGTACCCATTTCGGGCGTCCAAAATTGGAGTCTTGAAATTGCAATTGGCGCAGGGAGCAGCAACCTTGTCCTACAGCCTGGTGGCCCCACGAGGGGGCCTGCGGATTTGCTTCCGCGGTACTGTTGAAGCCCTACTTAGTGAGTGAGACCCCTTACTATCATTTTCTTCTGGGCGACGCGGCTGATCAGGCGGCGCACCCCAACCACTCCGACACAGAGCGCGCCTCGCCGCGATGGTGGTGCGTTCACTCGACTTGGCTCCCCGTGCTGCTCAAAAATGTATCAGGTCGCAGATGCGGGCGTTCGTCGAAGACCCGACTGGGTTGCGTTCGCTGCAGGCGCTGCAGGTTGGCTGGGCGCTCGCTGCACACGCTGCAGCTTGGCCGGGCAGGACGACGCGGGACCTCTCAGGGCCCCTCGGGTTCCCCCTATCCACCTCTTTCCCTTGCTCCTGCTGCTCCTGCATCGTCCTTCTCTCGCCTCTTCCCCGCTCCTCCTCGTCCTCCTCGTCTTCTTCGTTGCTGCCCCCGTATCGGCCTGCCCGCTGCCGGTTGCCGAGGATGCGCAGGCCATCATCAAGGCCTACCAGTGCGGGAAGTTCTCGGCAGTATTCCCCGATGCACCGAGCCAGGCGGCCTGGGAGTGCTCACGAGCTCACATCCGTTTCCTCGTCTTTCTCTTCCCTCCTCTCTTCTTCCCTCCTCCCTCGCCCCCACCTCCCCGTTACCGTCGTCCGTCTCATCCTCCTTCCTCTTCCCCCTCTCTTCGTTGCTCTTCTCCTCCCTCCGTCTCCATCCTGCTCGTGCACATCATGGTCATCCCCTCTTCCGCCGGGCTCACTCATCTCTCCGCCTCGTCTTCATAGTTCTCCTCGTCCTGCCTCTGTGGCCGCTGTGGTTCAAGATGCTTCTTCCTTCGGGGGCACCCATGGACATCGCTAGTCAGTGACCAGCCGTCCAAGTCTCGCAGCCACAGCCAACGGCGAGGTGCCGCCCATTCATGGTTGTCCTGTCATTCTTCACAGTATCAGCGCGATTCTCTGATATTCCCAGGGATGAGTTAACATGCAACCATATCCTCTTATTTCTCCACGGGGCGCTTCGCGGCGACGCGCTTGGACAAGGCTTGGTCAGAAAACGAAGTGCAAAAGAGAAAGCAACCAAGACGGCTGACATGATGCTGGTGCTCGCCGCGCTTGCTGTTCGCCGTCTTCGGGGATGTACAACTGGGGCTTCTGCGCCACCATGTTGACACACAAGGCAAGAGACGATCAAGCGCGTCATGCATCCGACAATCTTGCCAAGCAGCACTGCTTCCATTCGCTTCCCTTCCAGCACTGCCGGGCACTTTTCACTATCTTATCAAAGTCCTTTTTCATCTTTCCCTCGCAGCACTTGTTTGCTATCGGCCTCGGGAGCAGCGGACCTCCACCACGGGCCGAAGGCGACGGAGAAGAGCTGATCGGAGGCGGGGGCCGCCAGGCCGGAGCCCCCCCTCTCACAAGGAACGGGAAGCAAGGACGCATCAGCGGTGGCAGGGCGGCCTCCAGGCTCCGCAGTGGGCCGCCGCGGCCCAGTGGCAGGGTGTCCTCCTGGCTCAGCATTGGGCTTAAGTCGGGCGCGTCGGAATGTTCAAACATAGTTACACAATAGTTTGGGGACGATGTTTTAACTGTTAAACAAGTCCCTCTACAGAAAGAGTGTTCAAAAATAGTTAAACAATAGTTTGGGGACGATGTTTTAACAGTTGAACAACAGTTTGGGGGTGTTTTTTTCAATTTGTCGCTTGAAATCCCCCTGTACGGGGACAGGCCCGACCTAACATGGGGCCATCGCGGCCCAGATCCACGATCCCAATCTGGACACGGATCCCGAGAACCTCCGTTCAGCATCGATGGCGTCCGCAGCACACATGGTCTTGCCCGTTCAAGAGCACACAATTGCTTCTTTCTTACAAGAACGCTGCACCATAATACTCGACAGTGTGGCGCCCGTGGCGACAACATGATCGACAAACGCTTGGAACCTCTCTTCGTTGTGCGTCAGGCAGCCGTCGTCACGCACTTCGCCATTCACGAGCAAAGGATCCTGGAATGTGAACTCGAGGGCGATCACCGAGAGGAGGCGATCGCCCACCCCTTGCCACGGCTTGCAATGCTGGAAAAGAAATTGGCATCATTCACACCAGCTGGATGCCACTTGTCGGAGCTGAAGAAATTGGGTGGGATCGAGGAGTCGACAAGCGGAACCTGGTCACTAGTGCCCATGACGGTGTTCCTTAACAGGCGGTGGCCACGGTGTTGGAAGAATTGCTGTCTGCAACACAAGAACTACAAGCTCAGCGACCAGTGCATGCTCGAAGGTGATGCCCGCGGGAAGACGTTTATATCGGGCACCACCGCGCGCAGGCCTATGGGCACATCGGCGCGCAAACAAGGCATTTCAAGCACTTCAGAAGTGGTCTGGAGGTTGGTGGCGCGTCCACGCCGATGGCTCAGGCAATGAACGAGTGCCCTTCTACACTGGGCCCGACGAACACGGGACGCAAATCGTCTCGCTGGATCTGCGCTGAAGATCGAGATCACGGAATCGAGTTCACGGAATCGAACTCACGGACCTTTTGCATAGCCTCCCCGGCGACGAGCGGCAGTGGATGGAGCTCGAGGGGTCCTCGCATCAAGATGCGAACCAGTCGTGTCGCGAAGGTGGGAGCTAACCCCAAGCGGGCCCGGTTTCTGCGGACCTCGGGGCCGCCGAGGAGGAGCTGCTGGGGGGGGGGCGCGGTGGCCGCCATGGCCTCCGCCCCCCTCTGCGCGGCGCAGTGGGAGCGGGCAGCTGAGGTGGCGGGACGGCGGCATTACAGTCTAACGGGTAGTTTCGGCGGCGAGCGAGGCGGGGCAGTGAGAAGGAGACAGCCTTTTCAGAAGGCGGCGGGACTTCTCAGAAGCCCTCGCGCCTTCTGGGAGGCTTGTTCTGTCTTCGGGGAAGGCTCGGAAAACTTCGCAGCAGGCCGGGGGACGTCCGAGCCTGCTGAGAAGGCCCAGCCCTTCGCAGTTGCCCCCCGTGCTCGCCGCCGATGGTCGCAGCGGGCAATGCCGACGGCGTTTCAACTGCACGGCGCAGCACTGCAATAGCGGTCTGCTCGCGACGCGACGAGCAGACGAGCAGATCGCTCTCGTCTCCTCGTCCCCCGGGCCCTTGCTTCGGGCATCGGCAGAAGGAGGAGGAGGAGGAGGAGGAGGAGGAGGAGGAGGAAGAGGAGGAGGAGGAGGAGGAGGATGACGAGAGGAGGAAGACGAGATGGTGGTGATGATGATGATGATGATGATGATGAGGAGGAGGAGGAGGAGGAGGAGGAGGAGGAGGCGGAGGAGGAAAAGAGGAGGAGGAGGAGGAGGAGGGAGCAGAAAGGAGCAGGAGGAGGAGGAGGAGGAGGAGGAGGAGGAGGAGCAGGGAAAGCAGGAGCAGAGGAGGAGGAGGAGGAGGAGGAGGAGCAGCAGGAGGCCAGCGAGGGATGACCAACGACGTCGGTCCTCCCTCGCTGGCCCTAACAACCCCGCCGATCCGCGGGCACGCGTCTCTCTCCTCCCTCCCGCCCCTTTCCTCCTAACCATCGTCGCCACCAACATCATCATGAATCACGACCCCTCTCCATCCTCCCCCCCCCCTCCCTCCTCCGTCCACCTTATCAAATCCCCTTCTTTCCCTCCCCATCCCTTCTCCCTCCTCCCTGTCCTCTTCACCCCTCCACCCCGCATCTGGCGCACCAGGCGTGCCTGGCACGCTCGGGCCCCGGGGGTGCCTGGAGGAGGAGGAAAAGGAGGAGGAGGAGGAGGAGGAGGAGGAGGAGGCGGAGGAGGAGGAGGAGGAGGAGGAGGAGGATGAGGAGGAGGAGGAGGAAGACCGGAGGGAGGAGGGAGGAAGAGTGAGAAACGCGGGAGGAGGAGGAGGAGGATGTAGGACGAGGAGGAGCCAGGGAGGGAGGAGGAGAGGAGGAGTGAGGAGGAGGAGGAGGGAGGAGGAGGAGGAGGAGGAGGGGAGGAGGAGGAGGTAGGGCAGGGAAGGAGCAGGAGGAGGAGCCATGGGGGGAGCAGGAGGGAAGGAAGCAGGAGGAGGAGGAGGAGAGGAGGAGGAGGAGGAGGAGGAGGAGGAGGAAGGAGGAGGAGGAGGAGGAGGAGCGGCAATGCGGGGGGGTAGCAGCTTCACTCCTCTTCCTGCCCTCCTCCATCCCGGGGAGCAGCTCGCGTGAGGCCGTCCTGCGTGGGTGGCGCCCCTATGCGCCCAGCAAGCCCGCCGGCACCACTCCGCGGCCTACCGCCGGCATGGCTAAACATTTGGCCAGTTCGACCCCAAAACTCGAATCCCTCCTCCCGCCTCACTCACCCTCTCCGCCTCCTCCTATCCTCCTCCTCACTCCTCATCTCCTCCTCATCCTCCTCCTCCTCCTCCTCCTCCTCCTCCTCCTCTCCTCCTTCCTCCTCATCCTCCTCCTCCTCCTCCACCCCCTTTCCTCCCCCCTCCTCCTCACTCCCTACGCTCGCTCCCTCCATCGCTCGCTTCCCTCCCTCCTTCTCGCTTCTCTCCCTCCCTCCCTCCCTCCCCACTCCCCCGTGCAGGCGGAGGTGGCCGAGCCGCCGCCGGCGGCCGCGACGGCGACAGCGCCGAGCAGGAGGGGCGCACCCCTCTGCAGAGCACCGGGGCAGCAGTCGCCGGGAGGCCCCGGGCCAGGGGTTACGCCAGGGGGGGACAGGCCTACGCAGGGGGGGGGGAACAAGAGCGAGCACTCAGGCACAATGCATCGTCGATCGTCCTGAAACGTCCCAAGAGGCCTCCTGGACTCCAAGAGCATTCCCAAGAAGGCCCCAAGAGGCAAAAATCATTGATTTTCTGTTGGTTTTGGGTGAATGTGGGGGTTCTCCTCTTTTCGGTTTCCCGACGCTCCAAGACGGCGGTCTTCTGGGCGTCCGAAGCCGCCTGGGAGGCTCCCAAATCGCCCCACAACAGAGCCCCATGGCGGCCCAAAATGGCCCCAAGACGCCCTCCGAAGCATTCCAAATCGTGACCCGGTCGTTCAGGGAAACCGCGGTTGGAGGCAGGGTGGCCCGAGGAAGCCCCCAGAGGCCCCCAGAATACGCCCAGGAGGCCTCCAGAAGGCCTCAAGAAAACCTCAAACAACTTTTGTGAGGCCCCCAGAGGCTCTCCAAGGAGGAGCCTCCGCAAAAAGAGCTGAGGAGGATGGGGAGAATGCGCAGGGTAAGGCGAAAATGAGGAAAACGAAGCATGGAGGAAGGGTAACGAATAACATTGTTATAGCGGCGATGCCGGAAAAAGACAACAAGGAGTTATCGCTAAATTGTCGGCTTGACCTTCCTGCTATTCCGCCTGCATGCCAAACTTCAAGGACCAGGGTGCGTGGCGCGAAGCGCCACTGCAGTCTTGTGTTTACACATATATATGTATATATCCATGTATGTATATATGTATGTGTGTATGTGTGTCTCTGGGCGCCTTTACGCATGGGGGGAACGCATGGACCCCGAATCGCCCACTCATCGCCGGCAGGGGGCCCGAGAGCCCCAAGCCGCCCAGGAGGGCGCGGTCTCACCATCGGGGGCCTCCCGCCGATCTATCGGCGATGCATCGCCGATTCCAGGTCGATGCTTTCCCCCCCCCCCCTCTGCCAGTCGCCCCTTGTCGTTGCCCCCCCACCGGGAGGGAAGGCAGGAGGGGGCGCGGAGCTTCTCCGGAGCCCCCCCGAGGCCCCCCGGGGAGTCTTCTCCTCGGCCCTCCCTGTCCGACATGGGGCGGCTTCTCAAGTGGGCGCGCGGACTCCTGCAGACGCGCCGCCGCGTCCTGAGCAGGCCCGTCCCCTCTCCCCCCCCCCCCGGGCCCGCCGCCGAAGCAGGGGCGGCAGCCAGGAGTGAGGGGGGAGAAGCCCGGGGGAGGATTTGGGGGGGAGGGCTATAGGGCCACCAGGAGAGGGGGGGGGGGGGGGGGAAGGGGAGGGGAGGGAGGGGGAGGGTTATAGGGCCACCAGGAGGGGGGGGGAGGGGCTATAGGGCACCAGGAGGGGGGGAGGATTGGGGGGAGGGTTGTAGGGCCACCAGGGAGGGGGCGGGGGGGGGGGAGAAAAGGGGAGGGGAGGGGAGGGGAGAGAGGGAGGATGCCGACCCCTCTTGGCCCCCCCCACCCTCCCGTGTCGGGCCCTCGCTGGCGCCTGTCCTGGCAGAGAATCAGGATGTGCCCCCCTGCCCTGGCCAGTCTTCGCGCCCCACCTGGTTGCTTGTCCATGTTTCTCCTGCGCGGCCGCTCGTCCTGAACGTGAAATACCATCACTGGCCACCTCCTCCTCCTCCTCTCCTCCCCAGCCCCCTCCCCCTCCCCCTCCTCCTATCATCCTCTCCTCTTGCCCATACTACTCCTCCTCCTCCTCCTCCTCTCCTCTTCCTCATCCTCATCCCCACTCTTCTCCTCCCTTTCCTCCTCCTTTTCCTCCTCCTTTTCCATCCTCCCTGTTCCTCCTCACCCTCCTCCTCCTCCTCCTCCTCCTCCTCCTCCTCCTTCCCCCTCCTCCTCCTCCTCCTCCCCCTCTTCCTCCTCCTTTTCCTCCTCCTCCTCCTCCTCCTCCTTCTCCTCCTCTCTCCTCCTCCTCACGCGTTGATGTAATAAGCGCGTTCTGAAACACATCCTAGCACAATACAATGCGTTCCACATGCACGTGCCGCGCGCGCATGTCAACAATAAAAGGTGGATCGGCTGAAAGTGGTCGCATGCAGGAATCAGATCACCAGCAACACATTGCTTTCAAGTCATAGCTAGTCTACAGCTATCAGTTCCTGCGGTCGGCTCAACGGAATCTTGCCAGACTTCTGCGCGCGCACCCGCTGGAATAATCGGGAACAATGGTTTTAGTTGGCCAGTATGTCACATGAGATGCGCACGTGCGTATGATGATGCACATGTGCATGACGCCGCTGGTTTTACAGTTGTATGATGCACCTGTGAATGGTACGCTTGCGCATGATGCACGTGTGTATAATGCGCACGCGCACGACCTTGCCAATGCTTGCCGATGAGCCGTCCCGGCACGGATGCGTGTGTGTGTGCGTGTGTGCGTGTGTGTGTGCGTGTGTTGTGTGTGCGTGTGTTGTGTGTGTGCGTGTTGTGTGTGTGTGTCGTGTGTGTCTGTGCGTGTGTTGTGTGTGCGTGTTTTGTGTGTGTGTGTGTGTGTGTTGTGTGTGTTGTGTGCGTGTGTGTTGTGTGCGTGTGTTGTGTGCGTGGTGTGTGTGCGTGTGTCCGTGTTGTGTGTGGTGCGTTGTGTGCGTGGTGTGTGTGTGTGTGTCTCCGGGCGACCGGCCCTGCTCGGAGCGGGCCCGGCCTCCGTCTCCTGCCCGCCGCTGCCGGGCGCCTCCTCCCTCCCTTCCCCCCCCCCTCCTCCCCCCCCCCCCCCACACCTCCCTCCCCCACCCTCCCTCCCTCCCCTCCCTCCCTCCTCTCCCCCTCCCCTCTACCCCACCCCCCCGCCCCTCCCTCACACCCCCCCCTCCCTACCACACTACCTCACTCCCCCTCCATCCCACCCCCCTCCCTCCCTCCCTCCCCCCCACCCTCGGAGGAGACGAGGAAGGAGGGAGGAGGAGGAGGAGGAGGAGGAGGCGGAGGACGAGGAGGAGGGGAGGAGTCGGAGGAGGGGAGGAGGACCCCCTCCCCCTCCAGCTTATGGTGGTAGTGGTGGAGAACAGGCCCATCAGTGCTGCCTCATGAATGCCCTGACGCGCTGGCGCCTGCGTGCCCCGTCGCGCCCACGCGCTGAATGTCCCCGGAGCGCACTGGCGCCTTGAAGCCTGGACGTGCCACGCCACCCTGCTGCGTGCGATGGTTGCGATGCATTGGTGCGATGTTGCTCCTCTTCCTCCTCCTCCTTACCCCCTCCCTCCTCCGCCTCCTCTCCTACCCCCAAGTTTCTCCTCTCCTCCTCCTCCTCGTCCTTCTCTCATCCTCCTCCTCCTCCTCTCCTCCCTCCCCCTCCTCCTCCTCCTCCTGTGGGAGACGTCTTTCTACCTGTGCAGGTGCGTTTCGTGTCTTCTTGCGTTGACGCATGCGCATATTGTTGTCGCACGTCGTGCCTTGATGCTGTGATGCACTGCTGCTTTCCTGCCTTGGCGCTGTGATGCCAGCATGCGCCGACGCCTCAGATCATTCCTGCAGTCGTGCTCCTGGGACCTTTATGCTATGATGCTTTGATACGTTGACGCCTGGTGTCTTATGTTGATCCCTCAATGGCATTATTATTTGATGCCGCTATGCTATGATGATTGGGTGCCTTGTCATCTCGATGGTTTGATGCAGTGGTGCTTGAATGTGCTGATGCCTTGATGTTTTCTGCGCAGTAATGTGTGGCTGCCCAGATCGCCCCAGTAGGTTCTTCCCGATGAAGCAACCATCCTGTCAGCATAGGGCGGTACGCAACTAGCAAAAGCAGCTGATGAGAAGAGACTGCTGCAGGAGCACCAAGAAGCTCGACACATTCCGTCAGTACGTTCTGTAGCCAGGCGGAGAGGGGCTGACGTCAGCGCCGCAGGGCAGCGCCCAGAAGGCAAGCGCTGCAGACAGTTGCTGCTCCTCCTGCTCCGGCTCCTCTTCCTCACGGCTCCTTCTCCCCACATTCCCACGGGACGGAGAGAAACGGCGCCATCGTGATTGTTGCAGTTGGGCCGAGGCACGCTCGGCCACGAGCGCATCGGCAAGCATATCGAGGCAGCTCAGAGCCAGAGGAGCCGAAGAAGAGGTGGGAGCAGCAAGAGGTCATGCGGAAAAGGGGCATCGGCGACAATCAGATCGGGGCGAGTCACGAGAGCACGGCAAGAATCCGCTTGATCCACAGAGGGCTTGCGAATTCGAGCCCTTTTGTCGCTGCAGTCCATCACGCCTGAACGTCCTGGGACGGCGAGCCGTCGCCGACGACGAAGGTGCCCAGGAGATTGCCGGCACAGCTAGGAAGGCACCAACTATACACCAACACCGATCCTGGCCAGGATCACCCTGGGCCCAGGATCGGTGTATACGCCCTCCTGCCTTGCGCAAGAAGGCATATACACCGATCCTGCGCCCAGGGTGGTCCTGGGCCAGGATCGGTGTTGGTGTATAGTTGGTGCCCTCCGAACAGCAGCGGACGGAGCTGGCGCAGCAGCCACGTCGCTTGGCCGACCACGCCGCAGCGCGCGGCGCAGGGGGTCCCGGCAGTAGCAGCGAGTTCCCTCCGGACTCTAGACCTACGAGGTGCCGCCTCTTAGTCCAGGGTGATCACACGAACGGGTGGGCCTGGCCACCACTTTGCACTGCTCGGGATTCGGTGCCGACCGCCTTCTCTTTGCCTACATGGTGGAGTCCTCTTCCCATCAGTCGGGAAGCTTGCAATTTTCATCATCAGGCGTTTGCGCTGGGAAAAAAAGACCTACGAGGTGTAGGTGTAAGCCAAGAAGAAGTACGAGAGGCATCACGGCGACTGTAAGATCAGCACGAGGAGTACGAGGTGTAGGTGCAAGCCAAGAAGACGTACCTCCGGACTCTAGACCTGCGAGAGGTGTCACAGCGGCCTGATTTCGTTTGCCCCTGGTAGCCTATGCGTCGTGCAGCGCGGTGCCCACGCGTTCCGCCAAGTTCCCCTTGTCGCGGTCGAGGTCGGGAGGCGTGTGCTGCGTGCGTCCGTGCGCGCGCCTTGCATGCGAGGAGCGCTCCCCGTGCTTCGCATGCCGCCCAGGGCCCTCTGAGAGCTGCTCGACTCGCTGTGCGGTCGCTGCGCGTGCTGCCGTGCTCGTGGGAAAGACCCCGTGGCCGCCTCGCTTGCGCCCCGGGGGCTGCCGCGCTTGGCTTTTTCGCGCGTGCCGCCTGCCGTGTGAGCGGAGTCGGCCTCGGCAGAACATCCTTTTTGCCTCCCTCCTCTTCGATCCTCTCTGCCTCGCCATATCTGCCGTGCGAGCGGAATCGGCTTCGGCAGAACATCCTTTGTTGCCTCCCTCCTCTTCGATCCTCTCTGCCTCGCCATATGTGCGCTTCCCCCCCCCCGGCCCCCCCTTGCCCGAGCGCGTCCCAGTCCGAGCTCCGAGGATCGATGTCCGAGGCTTGCTGGCCTCCGGGGGCTCGCCTCGTCGCCGCGGCTGGACGCAGCTCGAGAAACTGGTGCGCTCGGTCCTCGGCAGGGGCCCAGGGACCTTCCCAGCCGGTGGAAAAGATGCGACTCGGGTGGGCAACCTTTTGCTCTGCTATGCACCAGGCGATCGCAAGCATGGATCCAGGGGGGCGTGGATCAGCGACGGGTCCCGCTTCCACGGGAAATCGCGGATTGCCGCCGCCGAGCGAGGCGGCACCGGCCGCATTCTGGGGAGGGCACATCCCCCGGTCCACGGATTCGGTGGCCGCGCGCCAGATCCATGGATATCGCCAGTCCATGCTTGCGCGCCCCCGGATGAAGTCTCGTGCGTGACATCTCGCAGACAGCACACCCTGACTCCTGATCCGCCCTACTTTGGGCGATTTCGAAAGTAGGGCGGAAATTTCCGCCCTACTTTTGAGGCCCCTTTGAGCGTCGATTTCCGCCCTTGAAGCTCCTTTGGCGTCGATTTCCGACACAATTTTAGGTCGGAAAATCATCCAAAGTACGGCGGATCAGGAGCCAGGGGGCCGCGCGCCAATCCATGGATCGCCAGTCCATGCTTGCGCGCCCCCGGATGAAGTCTCGTGCGTGGCATCTCGCAGACAGCACATGCCCGGTGCGAAGCGACAGGCGGTTCTCATCGCCCCGGCGCGCGGACGTGCCCGGAGGTTCGGGGGAGGAGGTTTCGGGGCGCTTGGGGTGGAGGAGGAGGAGGAGGAGGAGGAGGAGGAGGAGGAGGAGGAGGGGAAGGAGGAGGAGGAGGAGGAGGAGGAGGAGCAGGAGGAGGAGGAGGGGTCGAGGCGCCCAGGGACCCCCTGCGGGTCTTCTTGGAGCTCCCTTGAGCCGTCTGGGGCCTGTCGTGGTCCGCCCAGGTGCCATCATCTTGGGCCGTCTTCGAGGCCGCCCGGGGCCGTCTTGGGGCCACGTCGGCCCCATCCTCCCTTCGCAGGTGCGGGCCCGTGGTTTTCGTGCAGAGGTCGCGGCCTCGGGGGCGCGGCTCCACTGGTTGCGAAGATCTGCTGAGAGGAACAGGGCCGTCGGGAGGGGGGGGGGCGCATGCGGCGGCGTGCTGCTCTGGGAGGGGAGGGGGGTGGCTGTTAGAATAGAACATAAGCCGTGGTTGAACAGCTGACTGGCATTTTCTCGCGCGGATGCGGTGCAGACGCGGTGGCGGATATGGGGTGGACGCGCTGTGTCGCACACGCGGGGGTAGCTCTGGAGATCGCCAATTTTTTGCTGGACGGTGGTCGAAACGCTGGAGAGTTTCGGCCAACGCCTTCCCCGAGCAGTTTGGATTGTAATTATACAGTTGCTTAATGGAATGCAGCCCCCGAACCAGGGGAAGAGAGGACAGATGGAAGGGGGAGGGAAAAGGATTGAGCACGGGATTAGCAGGAGGCGGGCTAGGAACAGAAAACACGGGGCAGATCCAGACGGGCTCATCGGGCGGGTAGACCTCAACGGGCGGGTCGGGAATGCGGGCCAAAACGACCAAATCGAGAAGGCGCGTTGCGGAAGCGTGAGTACTGCATGAATCGCGAGGAGAGCTCGAGCGATAATTAGCGCGATTCCCAAATAAATCGTGCGAGAGGCCAGAGCGAGAGCGTGATTCCTGGGTGTCGAGGGCACGGCGCTTGAATAAATAGCGGGACAGTTCCACGCGAGAGCGCGATTTTTGCATAACATGTGAGGAAGTCCCGCGCGAGAGCGCGATGTTTCAATACATTGTGAGGAAGGATCAGGCGGGAGCCGCTGTTGTTTTAGACACGGGGCCAAAGACATAATTCTGAGACCCAAGACGTTCCCGAACAAAAAAGCGAGTGCGAGCCCCAGGAAAGGGTACTTCAAATGAAAAAGCACAATGCGTCTTGGAGGGGGTGGTCAGCAATAGTTATCATTCAGTAGTGAGAGTTCAACCACCACCACAATAACGGCGACAACAACAACAACAACAACAACAATTACTAGCACGTGGGGACACTCCGTTCTCACCAGTGCCAGGGTTTTCATAGGAGGCGGGCAATACCCCCACTTTGTGGGGGGGCCGGTTCAAGCTCTACCAATTTCCAAACGACTCTTCGCCACCACCCACACCCAGCTTCCCGCCCTATGACGTTCGGACACTTCACTTCGTGGCATGCGGACGACCGTGGCTACTATTCAGGGCCCCGCGGCCGACGACGACGGCGTGCGCGCGCGAAGAAAAAACGAATGTGTCCCGCATGGTATTATTTGACAGGGATGATGGCCCTGGCAGGTGCGCAACCGTTGTTGCAGAAGTTCGAAAAGTTGCTCGCAAAAGCCCGTTTGACAGAAATGTTTAAAAAGTGTTGGTTGTCCTACGAATCCGCAAGAGCGCGCGGGATGAGATTTTGACATTTTTTTGTTGAAAAACCATTGGTTTTTTGATGTTTTTATGTTAAAATCGCTCCGAACACTAAGCTTTTGGAAGGATTTCGTCTTGCGCGCGCGAATGCCCACTTTACCTTTTTTTGCAAGGGATTCTTGAAGTTTGGATATGTTAGAACAAGAAATGTCCACCTTAGCTTATTTTCTGCAAGGGGAAACGGGGGACAACAAAACAACCGGATCTGGATGACATCGTTTTACCTGAGACTTCCTCACGAAAATGATGAAAATGAGGCTGCGGCCTAGGCGCGGCGGGGGGGGCGTGCACCAGGGGGTCCAACAATAATTATTCTTTAGAATTAATAATGTTCAACAACAACAACAACCACAACAACAACATCACCACCAACAACAACAACAGCACCATCAACAATCATTTTAAGACTGTTAGCTCTTACTGGCACGCGTGGCTTGCATTCTGTTTTCCCCCACCCTCGATACTGGCCCACTCCGCCTCCGATCGCGGCCCCGTCGGCCGCGGACGGAAGTGCGAGGAGCTCTCGCGCGAGAGCGCCGTTCCTGGACTCGGGGTTCTCTCTAGCCAAGGGCTCTCGGAATACACATCGAGAAGTACACCTTGGGCGATGCTTAAGAAAACTTCAATTTTCGGCCAGAGTCTCGATTATTCTTAGTGTTTCGATGTACATCCTAAGATTTCAATAGAAAGTTTGGGTTTTTATTCAAGTTCTCAGACTATGAATTTCTTAACCCATGATTTCTTAAGCATCTCGCAGGGTGTGTCGAAGGGGGATCCTCGTCGCCGTGTCCGGGCCTCCGCCAACTCTTGCCCGACCTGCGAGAGAAGGCCTCGAGCGAGCGCGCCACGCTTGAGTTCGGGGGCCTCTCTGGACAGGGCCTCGGAGGAGGAGGAGGGAGGAGGAGGAGGAGGAGGAGGAGGAGAGGAGGAGGAGGAGGAGGAGGAGGAGGAGGCAGGGAGGGAGGGAGGGGGAGGAGGGAGGGGAGAGGGAGGAGGAGGGAGGAGGCAGAGCAGGAGGAGGAGGAGGAGGAGGAGGAGGAGGAAGGAGGAGGCAGAGGAGGAGGAGGAGGCGGCGGAGGAGGAGGAGGAGGAGGATGAGGGAGGGAGAGGCAGGAGCAGTCGAGGCCTCCGTGGCACGGGGCCTCCCGCCGGGAAGCCTCCCCGCCCCCTCCGCCTGCCGCGCAGCGACCCCTACGGCGGCGGCTCCGAGGCGCCCGGCCCGGCGCCCGCGGCGGAGGAGGCCCGCGGCGCCACGCCTGCCCCAGGCCTGGCCTTGAAATCATCAAAAAAGTAGTCAAAAGTATTAAAAAAGATACCCACAAAGTATTAAAACAAGTAGTCAAAAGTACTATAAAAAGTAGTCAAAAGTACACAAATAAAATGAGGAGGACTCAAAACAAATACCCCAAAGTACCCCAAAGTGCTCAAGAGTACCCGATACCCAAAATACCCTAAAGTACGCAAAAAAATACCCAAAAGTACCCAGAATTGCCACGGAGGAGGAGTACCCAGAAGTACTCAAACAAATATCCGGGGACGACTTTTTTGTTTTACCATTTCTGTTGATGTTTGGGGGCACTTTTGGGGTATGTTTGATCTGTCGCCCAAAAATCACCCTGTAGGGGGGACAGGCCCGACCTAAGCCTTGCCCGCTCTCTTGTGAGGGGGGGGGGGTGGTCGCCGCCGCTGCCGTCGCCGCCGTCGCCGCCGTCGCCGCTATCGCCACCGCCGCCGTCGCCGCCGTCGCCGCCGTTGCCGTCGCCGTCGCCGCCGTCGTCGTCGTTTTCGTCGTCGCCGCCGTCGCCGCCGCCGCCGCCGCCACTGCCGTCGCCGTCGTCGTCGTTTTTGTCCGTCGTCGTCGTCGTCGTCGTCGTCGTCGTCGTCGTTCTCGTCGTCGTCGTCGTCGTCGTCGTCGTCGTCGTCGTTCTCTTTGCCGTCGTTCTCGTCGTCGTTCTCGTCGTCGTCGTCGTCGTCGTCATTCTCGTCGTTGTTCTCGTCGTCGTCCTCGTGGTCGTTGTCGTCGCCGTCGCTCTCGTCGTCGCTTCCGTCGCATCCGCCCCTCGATTCTGAGAGCGTCGCCGTCCTCGCCCTCGCCGTCCACGCCGAGACGCCGTCGGCGCGTCGGGACCGGGCAGCCCGCCCCCCGGGGCGTGCCGTGGCGTGCAGCTCCTCCGCCTCGCGATGTCGCCGGCGACGCCGGGGCCGCGGGGTCGACGACGCCGTCGACCCCAGGCAGCATCCCCAGACCCCCTCGAGTAATGAAAAAACCATGACGGGAGGTTTTTCCTGAGTTTCGGCCTCCTGGGGCCCTCGCCGGGCCTCGGGACCGTCAAAAAACGACTCGGGACGAAAAGCCGGCCCCGGGGAAACGGTCTGGACTTTGGGGACGCCGTCCTGAAAAAATCAGGACGTCGCATGTCTGGGACCCCTACCCCCCACGATTTCTGAGGGGGAGGGTGGGGTTCACATGCTTCAGGAGCCCCCGAGCGAAGTGAGCCCCGCCCTCCCCCGCTGAACTCGTGGGGGGCAGGGGTAGGGTTCGCGTGTGGCCCCCTGGTCCCCCCTCCAGCCCCAGAGATCCAGCGCCCTGGAGAAAGCAAGGCGGAGGTTTCTCCCCGCTTCCCGCCTCTACATGGGGCACTCGCCGGGCCTCGGGGCCGTCGGAGAACGACTCGGGGCGAGAAGCCGGTCCAGGGGGCATTTACGGGTCGGGATTTTTCCGGGGGCCCCGCTTTGAAAAAAAGCGCGGCGTCGGATCTCTGGGGGCCGACGACGGCGTCGACCCCAGCCGCATCCTGTGTCCCTCCTCCGGCCGTGGCCGTCGGGAGCTGCATATGGTGCACGTGCCCGTGGCCAGGGGTGAAAAAAAAACCCTGAGAGGCGACGGTGCCAAAAAATGGCAGCACCGCAGAGGAGGAGGAGGAGGAGGAGGAGGAGGAGGAGGAGGAGGAGGAGGGGGAGGAGGAGGAGGAGGAGGACGACCGGACCCCCAGACCACATCCCTCACAGCGTCCTTTTCCGAGCCGGCTCGATCTGTGAGGGTCCCGGGGGCCCGAGATGGAGCGAGAGCGCCCGGCTCGAAGGAAGTGAGTCGCCAGGAGCTCAGGGAAGCACTCCTCCTCGTCCTCCCCAGCTCCTCGCCCGTCCGAGTCGCAGGGGTGCCTCGCCAGGAGGGCCATCTCCGGCGAAGCGGGCGGCTGCGGGCCCCCGCCTATCCTTCTGGGGGGTGTCTCCCTAGTCGGCGGCGAGCGAGGGGGGGAAGGTGAGAAGGAGAAGGAGAAGGAGAAGGAGAAGGAGGAGGAGAAGGAGAAGGAGAAGGAGAAGGAGAAGGAGAAGGAGAAGGAGAAGGAGGAGGAGAAGGAGAAGGAGGAGGAGGAGGAGGAGAAGGAGAAGGAGGAGGAGGAGGAGGAGGAGGAGGAGGAGGAGGAGAAGGAGAAGGAGAAGGAGAAGGAGAGGGCTGCGGATCGAGTTTCTCAGAAGCCCTCGGGCCCTCTGAGGAGTGCTCCCAGGCATGCGACGTCCTGATCTTTTCCGGACGGCGCCCCCAGGAGTCCAGACCCTTCGTTTCCCCGGGGCCGGCTTTTCGTCCAGAGGCGTTTCTTGACGGCCCCGAGGCCCGGCGAAGGCCCCCCTGCAGCGGCCGAAACCATAGCGAAACAGAAAGCCCGCCCCGATGTTTCCGCGACGCCACCGCGTCTGCGTGCAGCGCCTTCGGGGGGCATTGGCTCGGGCCCCTGCTCCGAAGGCCGCGTGGGGGGCGGGGGGCTGCCGAGCGAGCGCCCCGCCCGCCGCCGACGGCGCGGGCCGCCCGTGGGTCCTCTCAGGGCCTCGCCGCGCGGTCTCGCCGCCTCCGGGCACCGCTCCGCCGCCCCGGCGCCCCGTCCTCCAGGCCCGCGCCGAGCGGCAGGATCCATCGGGAGGGCCACGTGCGAGCCCTGCCCCGAAAGGGGGGGCAGGAGGAGGAGGAGGAGGAGGAGGAGGAGGAGGAGGAGGAGGAGGAGGAGGAGGAGGAGGAGGAGGAGGAGGAGGGGGAGGGGGACGAGGAGGAGGAGGAGGAGGAGGAGGAGGAGGAGGAGGAGGAGGAGGAGGAGGGTGGGGGAGGAGGAGGGGGAGGAGGAGGAGGAGGAGGAGGAGAGGAGGAGGAGGAGAGGAGGAGGAGGAGGAGGCGGAGGAGGAGGAGGAGGAGGAGGAGGATGGGGGGATGGAGACGGGGGGGGGTTACGAGACTTGTCGGCTGCATGCAGCTGGCTTCGGCCTCACCGAGGGGCCCATTCCTCGAGACATGGCCGCTCCGGCGCCGGGAGGCGCCGGGAAAATCAGCTACGTGGTCGGATACATAGGGGGCCACATGATGAACCTGACCCCTACCCCCCACGATTTCTGAGGGGGAGGGTGGGGTTCACTTCACTCGGGAGCTTCCGAACGAAGTGAACCCCACCCTCCCCCTCAGAACTCGTGGGGGGTAGGGGTCGGGTTCGCATGTGGCCCTGTCCTCCAGGCTCGCGCCGAGTGTCGGGCCGGACGAAATTGGGGGATTGGGAAAGGGGGGGGTACGAGATTCGTTGCATGCAGCTGGTTTCGGCCTCTCCGAGGAGCCCATTCCTCGAGACATGGCCGCCTCCGGCGCCGGGAGGCGCTCGGAAAATCAGCTACGTGAGCTGATTCTCAAACCTCCCCTTTGTTGTCCCCCCCACGAGTTCTGAGGGGGAGGGTGGGATTCACTTCACTCGGGAGCTCCCGAACGAAGTGAACCCCACCCTCCCCCTCAGAACTCGTGGGGGGTGGGGGTAGGGTTCGCATGTGGCCCCCTAATACAGGCCTCGGAACAAAATACTCAGACATGGTGGCGTCGGGAAAAAGTCGGGACGGGAGGTTTTTCGCCATTTTCGGCCCCTGGGGGCCTTCGCCAGGCCTCGGGACCGTCAAAAAACGACTCAGGACGAAAAACCGGCCCCGGGGAAAGGGTCTGGATTTCTGG